GGGTTTGGGTTTTTTTCCCCCTAAAACCGGAGAGAACGACGGAGGAGTCCGTGGTGGCGCATTTACCGAACCGCGGGGGCGGGATCTGACGGACAGCTCCCGGAGCCGGGCCGCGCTCTGCCTCCAACGCGAACCCCTCCATGCCTTCTCCTCGGTTTCACTGTGTTTTGCTTAACGCCAGAGCTGCATTCTGTTATCCGGGTTTTCATGTGAAAAATAACCCCGTTAATTGGCAGGAGAGTAAGAGGTAACTCATTAATAAGGAATGCGACAATTTAATAATGTCCCCGTAGCCCCCAATGCCCGGATGAAAGGGACGGACACAGCCATATTCACCATGATCAGTTTTATTGCTTGAGAACCAGAGTACTCATTTCTAAAGGCCTTCGAAGTTATCATGAGTTGAGTTCGCTTAAATAGAATTACTGTGTGGTTATAATGCAACATGGCACATAACGATACAGAGCTGCAGACACCCTTTGGGCGACAGTACTTAATATAAACCCAGACTGTACTGTTGAGAAAACATTCTGCAAGCGGACATCAAATCATTTTCAACAGTAGTGATTTATACCAAAATCAAGCATCAATCTAATGCCATCGCGCAGTCCATGAACTCTGTAGTGTTCTAAATTAAATCAATAAAACATACATTTGTGTTTCATCAACAGACTCCCTAATCACCTTTTAATGTTGTATTTGGTGGTGGGAGGAAAATGTTCGTAACAGGACTCTGCCGCAGGCTGCACCGAGCTGCTACCAGGAAAATTTACAGTTGTCTGTTTTTTTTTTTTCTTTAACACTGTACAAATACAGTCTGTGTCCAATACGGCTGCTACCTGAAGCAGACCACCGTTTTCTTCTCCCACGTTGTTATTGTTTCAATGTAGAATACTTGGCACCATAAAACAGTTAACAAAAGACGGACAAAAACAGCTTACAAAATTCTGGAAAGTTACACCCAAACCTAGCTAAGAACTTCACATTCAATCCTTAATATTACATAGAAAGAAGGGATTATAGGAGTAACAAAGTGAAACTGCTAATATATGTGCTATATAGTACGCTATATATCTGTATCCAGGATGGCACTGCTATATAGTATTCGTTATATAAATGTCGGCTGTTGATGCACACTTAACTAAACCTGCTACGACTCCGACGCTAACCGCTGCTATGGCACTCTCAAGCATTCGTATTGGAAAGTATATTTAGCGTAAGTTTTGGTCAGGTTTATAAATTATTTATATATCTGTGTATATATACACATACATACATATATATACACACACATATATACGTATGTATAGGAAGCAGCTGCTGTGTGATTCGAAAACCATGTAACATGGCAGTATAGTAAATAACATGAGAAAAAAAATTATAAAAATGAAAAACAAAATACTAAAACTAAAACACAAACCATAAGCCTTGGTCGACAAAGAAAATACCCTTTAAAACCATCGATATCTCGATCTATACAATCCAATGTACAAAACCCCAAAGTGGTAAAGAGCCAGAACGTCAGGCGTGGCGCCTGCAGAAGTTTGTAATATGCCGAAATAGCTTTTCCACAAGGACAAACACTTATTAAAAGTTGAAAGTTGTGAAATCTAAAATACATAACATCTCTGCTGTCTATTTAGAGTTTTGGCAACACAATTGTGACATATATATAAAAAATAATTCCACGTTTCTACTTGATGTCACATGAACATACAAGACAGTGAGGTATGTGAGGCTTCTCTCGCACAGAGTCCAGATGCTGAAGCATAGTGTACGATCAGCAGTCTAAGAATGTGGCACTCGGGACTGGATTTATCAATGCAGTTGTCACGATTATGTATTTCAGTTATACCGCGCGCTCCTTCCGCTCCTCGCTACAGTGTGGTTTCACGGAAAATCTTCTCGCTTCGGAGGCATCTTTTTCCTGTCGCAGAATTGGCATTTTTTTAAAAGGAAAAATAAACACAGGGGAAATGATGTAGAAAATATAAACGTAAAGGAAAAGAAAATGATATTTACCACCACATCACTGCACGACACAACACTTGTGCACATTTGCAATAGGTTTACCTGCCCCAGCAGCTATTCGAAAGGACAGGAACACAGGCTGCAGCAAGTCAGGGAAAAATAGAGGTTACACATTTTAAACAGAAACATTTTTTTTGTTTTACAGTCAGCAGTACACACAACAGAAATTCCTCTACGACTGGAAACAAAAAGATGCAATAATTTCTGGGATCAATCTAACTACAACAAGCACAGGAGAACTACATCAGCTCCTTACGGACCTCTGCTCCCACTGAAATCTAAGGGACAATTCCCACTGATCTCTGTGGGAAGAGGACTGGGTCCCCCCCCAGCTCCCTTCTATCACGGAATCAGCTCCGCTGAAAGTGCCAGGCTAAAAAAAACCCCATGTGTATTACGGTGGTGACAAAGGAAACAAAAATCGCTGCTTCTGAGCTGCCTGTCCTTCGGCCGCCGACACCGCACTTGCGTTTCACCGGGGAAGTCGGTGACCTGCTGTCCTTTAGCACCTGACCGGGCGATTCCGGACCAAACGTCCCGCGTGCACTCTTCCCTAGGGAAGGCACACTCTGTCCCGCGAGAGCGCTGGCCGTGAAAGCAAACACAGCTATGCACTTGTGAGCGTGGATTTACGTGCGGGCACGCATACGCACGTGTAACCGCCCGTCTTCCACCACCGAGTCACCCTTCAGGAGCCCTCGCACCGTCTCCAGGGCTCACACGGTGCCTACAACTGACTGTGGCACCGTTTCAAGTGTTTGCAAGTTTCTAGCTGAGCTTTTATGCAGGTTTTACGTAGGTTTTATGTAGGCTTTCAGAGGTCACCCCCTACCCCTTCATCAGGTTTATTTGCAGAGAGCAAACACCCAGTGTCCCTCTACGCCTAACCTAGCGTTCCAGCTGGCGTCTCCAGCACAGACGACTGTTCGTAGCCTTCACGTCTGCCTTCTCTTTAACAACTGGCACTTCTGTGGTTCTACGTCCTTTTTCTCACTTTGTGCTTAAGTAAGGAACTGCCAAGATGCTGTTTTACAAATACGCAGCTAGGCACCAAATTAACCAAAACTATGTTTTGGAAGCAACTTGGATAACCCGACAGAAATGCTTCTGTTCCACACGAACGGTCGAAGTGCAGAGACATTCACTCCCCTCCGTTTTGACTGCGTCATGCTTTCACTCCAGCGCACGTCATCCTGTTCTGTATTTGATTTTACCCAGGTAGCTACTCTAACATACTGGCTGATTTCAGCTGAATGCAACTTTAAAACATTCTCAAGGCTTTAAATTAAAAGTAGGACAGAGATACAGCTGACCTAAATACAAAATGATGAGAAACGAGTGCACACATCCTCCTGCCCAATCAAAAAGACTTAGAAGATACAATACTGGCATGTTCAATTTAATTACCTTGTGATCTCCCATGCAGACATTTGGCCCAATGTGGTCATATATTACGATCTTCTCATCGTTTTCTGACTAGTTTAAAAAAAACAACACAAAACACCAGTCAGTTCAAGTGTCCTCCAGACTACAGGAGCAGAAAGAAATACGGAAATAATTTATGCAAATAGCTCAAACCAGCTTCTGAATGAAGGGCGAGCAACGCGTCTTTGCTTGTCCACGTAAAATAACTCTCGAAGCCACCGCACCTACTCCTTGCTTCTGGGACCTCAGGAAAACCCCGTGAGTAACACCTGGGTAGGTGAAACGACTGGCGCGGCTGCGACCGCATTCCAGCCTTCTGCCACTGAAGTGCAGCTACCGCGTTTGGCTCGTCCTTTTTTTAAGAACAACAATTTTTACTGGATTAGGCGGGTGTATGTTGTTCTTTGAATTAAATGCAATCCGCATTTGATTTCACCATACAGGTGATTTTAAATGTTCAGAGAGAGGGATGAATTATTTGCAGTTTATGAGTGTAATCTTTAGCCATTTCCACGCGATACATTTCCTCATCTGAAAAAGAGCACGAAGTGGTTTTTAAGAAAATCAGCAGCAAATGGAAGATGCCATTCTTCCCGTCTCCATTACAATTTGCTTTCATTTTGTTCCACGTTGAACTTTATCCTTATACACCGACTTCTTTCTGCGTTTGCAGCTTAATGAATAATAAACTGCACTCATCTTTCTGCCATTTGCAGTGCACGAGCTTTTGAGAAGCTGTTGTGATTCTCTGGCACAGTACGTCAGGAATAAATACAAATGCAATTTAATACCATGCAAGACAACTCCTTATTCTGCTAAAGAATCCCTATGAGCTAATTAAATCTGCAATCTGCACACTCTCAAGTCTCCAACACAGTCATAGATGTGCTTTAAACTAGTTGGCAATGCTAATTTATTTTGCATGAAACAGTCAAGACTTTCTCGTCTGTAATCAGTCAAGTTTGACTGGGCAATAACTTTATATAAACAGTAGCATTTAGGACTATAAAGTTAAAACTGAATTATCTTTAATGCAGTAAGGAAGCTTAAGGTCAGATTTACTTTATAGCACGGTTGTCTGCCAAAAATATAAAAACATAACCTTCTGCATTGTATGCATGAGCACTTTCCAATATTTCAAGATCATAATGCCACTAGCATCGGAAGTGGGGATACATTCATCAAAAGCGACTTGATAATTTACAAAGGCAGCATAAAATTGTGGATTTTCAACTGCATAATCTTTAGACAGATAAACAAATTACAGCGGTGCACAAGCAGAAACAATATACACTTGGCTGAGCATTCATTACTTCATGCTATCAGGCATCAACGCAACTCCCTAGCAGTGGGCAACCTTTGGTGTTTTAGGGCTCAGGAAGCATAAAATAACATGATGGTGAGGTAACCGACCATAGCATGATAGATGATGTTGCATGAAAGCTGTTTACAGCCCCATGTCTGCACAATCTGCAATGCCTACTGTGTAGCTGAACGCACTGTACAGTGCCGTAATTTGTGCATACGAGCCTTTCTTTACCTGGGACCAAAATGAAGATTTACTACAATTTTTGTTTGAGATAAATTACAGAATTGCTAAGACAGAAGAGTAAATTCTTTACTTGCCTATAAGAAAAATTAATACAGCAAAGCAATTACCTGCATAAGGATTTTCAATAGCTAGTTACAGCCAAAAATTCTTTTATGTATATTTAAATGTTAAGGATTTGTTACGGTGTAATCAGTTAATTAAAATTTGCTTTTACTTTCTTCACAGTTCCTTTTAAAGCTTGCAAGCGTAAGTCTCTGCGAAGGAATTAATTCTCAGTGGCCAGGCAGCCGCTGCTTACTGCGTGGAACTACAACGGCTTGTAAGGTCATTTTGCCCTCTCCTCTATCAGTCCAGCATTCTGTTCTACTGAGTATTTTCATTAAGTTTTACGGCCCAGAATTGCAGTTTGTTTTTGAGCCGGGTAAGCTAACTCCTTTATTGGTACAGGCTCACTGAGTCAAACAGCCACGCCGGTTTGGCCTCATCTACATCTGTAGTTTTGCATACGCATTCCTGGAGATGTCCCACACTGCATGGCCGTAATTTGCAAATGCAGAGCTGCAGAGACAAAATTATATGCATTTTTTAAATGTAAGCTTTCGATGATCCAGCTGACTGGTTTTCTGTTCCATGCAGACTAAGAATTGGGCTAAGTGGCCTCACAGTTACGAATTTCGTTAATGCTCTAACTTTGTTTTCCTTTGTTTAATTTTCTCCCACTATATCCAAGTTATAGCCCCCTAGATAATCTGAAAGAATTCCTTTCCCTCTGTGCTGTTTACACTCTTCAAGCCTTTGTGTACACTTCTATCTCCTTATTCACAGCTTAAAAAAAAAAATCTTCC